GCATGAATTTCTTCGGCCGTACATTAACAAAATAGTTCGTATTTTAAACTGAAAATACGACAATACTGCTGGATTTTACGTGGAGAACTTTTTGTTTTACCGAAAATTCATATATATATTACATGTTTCAAGTCAAATATTTTAGTCCCCCTTCTGCTGGAGAGGAATGAAACGATACAGGCTACAGCTGATGGCCTATAATGGGGTCCAGCTTAAATCACCATATACTGCAGAGCCCCGATATTCAACCACCGGGAACGGGGGCCAAATCCGGTGCACCAAAGATTTTGATTCTGGCCAGCGAAACATTGCTAAAAATAAATAATTTTCCAGTCAATTTTTAGAAAAGTTTTTCTGTTTAGAGCAACACCACCTAGACACCTCTATTCCAGCAATATTTGCAAGAGCGTGGCTTTTTCTGAGTGTCTCACTATGTAGTGGCGTAGGGTACTATGGGGAGGGGTAGACTAAATGGGGGACAATGGATTAAGTGGGACACTATCCCATTTGCTTTTTTGTTGATCGTTACTTAGTGCCAGAGTCTAGAGGGTAGAAAAGTTGGAGAGCCTAGGGTGACAGCACAGTGGCAGTGCCAGTGGGGTTTGTATGGGGGTGGTGGCAATTGCACTCCCACCTCCCCAAAAAAAAAAAAAAACTGTGGATCTGCCACTGTTCATGTTGTTTTTAATTATATTTGTTGTTTTCGATATTTTTTTTTCAGAAAATGTATAATCCACTAGTTCCAGATATACCTGCAGGTCAGAGTTCAAACATTGCTGAAGATGAGATGGAGAAAGAGCCATCTTGTTGCTCACCAACCCGTTCCAAGTTAAAGACCTCTCCTATCAAAGTGTTCAGTTTGATCCATATTTTGTGTGGTGCATTGGCCATTGGATTGGGCATCGTAGCATGCGTCTTTGGTTGCATGTACCCAGGAGCCGGCATTGTGGCTGGTGTAGCAGTAAGTCACAGTTACATATATGAGGACACTCATGTAATCAGACATGCTAAATTTTGTGCTAGGATTAAAAGAAAATGAAAAAAAAACTACCCAACATCTTTTCTGGTGGTACAACACACTAAAGTTAGTTCTTTTACAGTATATAATATTTTATAAATTATTCCTAACAATTTATTGATAATCTTATTGCATTACTAAAATTCACACATAACCCATTAATAAGTCATTTCGTATGCCCAAACCAAGGTCAGTCGACATAAACATACATACAGGTCCGTATCCAGGTGGGTGGGGGAGGGGGGGTTGGGTGCGTACTGTACGCAACCCCCCCCCCCCCAAAATCGAAAAGAGTCCACCAAATATAACCATAAAAATTAATTAACCATAATAAGAATAATTAGAGCGTGCAGTAGTCCTGTGAAGGGGTCGGGTGGGCGTGTAAAAATTACATGGGGTTCCAGATTTAGCTATTTAATGGGTTATAATGGTAAATCTCATGATTCTTATGATGTGTATTTCAATAATATAATTATTAATTTTAATGTGTGTGTTTGATAGAATCACATAATTGTCTTGTGTGGCCAGGCCTATGTCTATATGGATCAATTTCTCATTTGCTGGCATTTCAGTACAAGAATACAAAATCTAGATTAAATACAAGTTGTCATAAAATGCGTTTTCAATTGGCTTAAATTAATACAGATAATTACTCGGCCGGTATTTTAGCAACTGTAACCGCACCTAATTATTCAACGTCTGTCTCTTATACACATCTAGATGTGTATAAGAGACAGCAGTTACATATATGAGGACACTCATGTAATCAGACATGCTAAATTTTGTGCTAGGATTAAAAGAAAATGAAAAAAAAACTACCCAACATCTTTTCTGGTGGTACAACACACTAAAGTTAGTTCTTTTACAGTATATAATATTTTATAAATTATTCCTAACAATTTATTGATAATCTTATTGCATTACTAAAATTCACACATAACCCATTAATAAGTCATTTCGTATGCCCATACCAAGGTCAGTCGACATAAACATACATACAGGTCCGTATCCAGGTGGGTGGGGGGAGGGGGGGTTGGGTGCGTACTGTACGCAACCCCCCCCCCCAAATCGAAAAGAGTCCACCAATTATAACCATAAAACTTAATTAACAACAATAAGAATAATTAGAGCGTGCAGTAGTCCTGTGAAGGGGTCGGGTGGGCGTGTAAAAATTACATGGGGTTCCAGATTTAGCTATTTAATGGGTTATAATGGTAAATCTCATGATTCTTATGATGTGTATTTCAATAATATAATTATTAATTTTAATGTGTGTGTAGTCCTGTGAAGGGGTCGAGTGGGCGTGTAAAAATTACATGGGGTTCCAGATTTAGCTATTTAATGGGTTATAATGGTAAATCTCATGATTCTTATGATGTGTATTTCAATAATATAATTATTAATTTTAATGTGTGTGTTTGATAGAATCACATAATTGTCTTGTGTGGCCAGGCCTATGTCTATATGGATCAATTTCTCATTTGCTGGCATTTCAGTACAAGAATACAAAATCTAGATTAAATACAAGTTGTCATAAAATGCGTTTTCAATTGGCTTAAATTAATACAGATAATTACTCGGCCGGTATTTTAGCAACTGTAACCGCACCTAATTATTCAACGTAAGGTCTGGTCGAGCTACAGTATGTCACTATTCTTTATACAAGTATATTCTAGTCATTAGTATTGACCTTCATTTAAAAATGATTTTAGAGGCAATGCTCTTGCCAGTTTTCTTTCACTAAACAAAATATTAAAAGATAACGTAAATACTGTACTGATGTATTTTCGTAGGTATTTTTTTTTAAATAAAATTTATTTCGTAAACCGGGAGACCATGTTAAAAAAATTCTGGTCAGGTCACCAAAACGGGAGTCTCCCGGCCAAATTGGGAGTGTTGGCATGTAGGCCTTTCTGCTTGTTTCCTCATTTTCCTCAATTGGTAATATTTTGATATTATGTGTTAACTGAAGTTGCATTTTTTTGGACTTTGTTATTTATAGACCTATACCTTAACACAATAAAATGCCTTCAAATTAATCTACAGTATACCAGAATGTCAAAAATGCAAATTTTTCCAGGGCCTTTCAGATTCAGTCTCTTTAATAATTGTGGTACGAAATATGTAGGATATTATCAGCTCCAATGATTATGAACAATTAAATGTTAGCTGTAGGCCTACAGATGAAAAGGACATAAAATGTCACAACTTTAGGTACCTAACAACACCGAAATGAAGAAAAAAAAATTAAATAGACTAGAAATCCATTTATAAGGTACTCAAAATGCTAACTTGTTGAAGCTTCCGGGACTTCGCCCCCAAACCCGCGAGGCCTAGGCTCCCCCAGCATTAGGTCCGCTTCACTCGCAAAACGCAGCTCCCTATCGAAAATCCTGCCTACGGGCCTGACATACACCACATATACACAACATAGGTTTATCTTGGATATGAGTATGTGTAGTTCAGACAAGGAAATGGCAAGTTTAGTTTTGTGACCGATTTCCATTTGGTCCGTAATTAGAAAAAAAAAAGTAAAGATAAAGGAGACCTGTGTTAACATTTACTGTAAAACTTTTCTTCATACAGTTTTTTGCAACCGGTGTTGTTGGAATGTACGTGATGAAACATGGAGTCTTGGTACGTATTGCCGTACAGTTTTTACTGTAAAATCATTTCCATGACGCATTGTACCGGATGTTTTTTGAGGACACGAGATGGTAGCAGGGTCTTGTTTACCAGGGACGTAGCCAGGATTTTGAAAGTGGGGGAGCCGTTATGCAAATTACATAGGACCCCGGTGGGGTCAAGGAGGCGAATCACCCTGTGAAGTAGCGTTATTAGGACTGTTTGAGAGGATAAAGTGGAAATTGCAATAGACGCATTATAAATAAGCGCAAAAATAATTATATAATAAATCAACAGTGGCAGATCCAGGAATTCGAAAGAGAGGTGAACCAGGAGGGACTTTCACAAACCGAGGAACCACCCACCTCAGCCCCACCATGGTTGGGGCTGAGGTAAAAAAATTTATTACTAGGGATCTCTAGATGGCCGGAAATTACACTCTCGCACTTCAATTTGAATATATTTTTCTTCTTTTTTTTTCCTTAAAAAAATTAAGTTGGGGGGGGGGGCCTTAAATCAACCTCTGCTCAAAACTTTCTGTATCCACTGCCAGAATAGTCATAAACACGAAAAATGGACATGAAAGACCAGATCACATCCTAAAAACAAACAGCAGTCACTAAGACATACATCAGGAGCCGATTCGATGGAGTTCAATATCATACCCAGGGAAGGGCACAGACCTGTTTTGAAAGGTGGAGGGGGAGGGCATTTTGTGAGTGTCAACACCCACCTCAGCCCCACAATGGTTTGAGCTGATGTGAGAAAATTTGAGGAAATAGTAGCTCTAGATGGCCAGAAATGACACTTTTAGTAAAATCCATCATCATCACATCACCATTAGTCAAAATGAATTGTGCCAAAAAAATTCTCATGATCTTTTATCAGAGATTTTTGACAACCATAGAGATCTTATTAATGTGTGTGTGTATACCATAGAAAACAAAGCTTAAAGCCCCATTCCCGGCAAAATTTCACTAAAAATGACTTTTTTTAGAAAATATGCATTTGCATTACTCCAATTATTATAAATCATGGAAAAATATTGGCATGAATTTTAGTTTTACGCAAAA